ACACAAAGGGTTTTGCAAGGGTAGCAAAGAGCCTGAGATTTGGAAATTTGCATTGCATCAGTCGTGGTTTGCAGACATCGGGGAAAAATCAGTCCCTGGAAGTGCTCTATAACAGGGTTCCTCAACCTCAGCAAGTTTAAGATGGGTGGACTTCAACTCCTAGAATTCCCCAGCCAGCCATGCTGGCTGGGGAATTCTGGGAGTTGAAGTCCACCCATCTTAAACTTGCTGAGGTTGAGGAACCCTCTCTATAATATAATGACATGGAAGCTGTGGCCCTTCAGAAATTGTGAATCACAACTCCCAACAGTGAGCCAATGGTGAAGGATACTGCAAGTTGTTTTCAGCAACACAATAGACCCATAGGTTCCCTACATCTGCTATAGCACATGGCTCCTCCTCATCTTAAGTACTTAAGAGTTCCCCCTTGATTATCTCCTTTTCTTCCCTCCTTCCTTTTCATTGTCTTTCCTTTAGTTTCCCTGTCTCTTCATGTCTCCATATCAGGACTACAATTCCCAGCATACTCAGCCAGCATGGCCAGTGGTGAAGGATATTTAGAGCTGTAGTTCAGCAGGATCTGGAAGGACAAAGATTCCTAGCTCTGCTCTATAGCTGGCATCTCTTCCCTGACATTAACTGGATCATTTTATGTTAATTTTTCTTAAATCCTAGCCAAATTGCTAGATTTTCTTTGCTTAGAGTAGCTGGTTGCAAATTCCTTTGTTCCACGCACATTCTGAAACATCATACCAGATCAGTTAGTATTGGAAGTTTCACCATGAGAACATAATACAGAGAAATCATAGCGCTTTTCAGCATGCATTACGAATGGCTTTATGATCAAGCTTCCCTATCCATTCACAAGCTAAGTTAGGTGAAGAGGAAGTAATGACTTGCTGAAGGACATCTGTGAGCTTTATGAATGGGAAAAGGAAAAATGATATGAGCCGTTTTGATATCTAAATCAAAATGACCGTTTCACTGGTTTGGCTGCATTTGTTTCCAGTTCTGTCCCTTTTTATTCACTGATTCCATCAGTGAACTGACAACATAATTCAAGAGTTCAGGGAGTGCCCGGGATAATTAGCTGCTTTCTTGAAGTAAAGCATCTAAATGGTACAGTACTTCTCATAGTTTAGAAATAAACCAATGGTTGACACATTGATGGATCAAGGTCTTCTACTTGCAGTGGGCTGCATCACTCTCCCATCTGCCCTAGAGTCATTCTAGTGAATCTGATTTTCTCTTTTCCTTGCTCCAGTCATAGAATCTTGGTGCTCAGCTACTTTCCAAAATCATGGGAAGTGACAGTGCCACTCTCTGTTGCTCTGGCCAGAGCGCACCTGGCATTCTGTGTCCAGTTCTGGTCCTTCCAATTCCAGAAGTTCGCTGAGGACTGGAGTAAAGAGCAGAACAACCAAGATGGCGAGGGGCTGAGAGGCTGTGAAGGAACTGGGTATGGTTAGCCTAAAGAGGAGAAGGCTGAGGGGAGACATGATAGCAGTTTCTCAACTTCTTGAAAATTTGAAAGAGAGCATGAATTTATTCTCCACAGCTCCCAAGAGTAGGACAAGAAGCCGTGGGTGGAAGTTCCATAGGGAGAGATCCAAAAAATAAGGAATTTCCTGACTATGAGAGTTATTAAGCAGTGGAACAATCTGCTTTCTGGAGTTTGGGGAACTCCATCATGGGAGGTTTTCATGACAAGATTAGGCAGCCATTTGTCTGGGTGGTCTGAGGATTCCTGCCCTGGGCAGGGGGTTGGAGTAGATCTCCCATCCTAGAATCCTATAACTCTATCCGACCTCCAGCCGTGGGCATCCAATAAATCTTGATTTTGCTCTAAGGCTCAACTTTTAAACCCCCAGAATGATTCTGCCCTGGCATCATTTGGGGGGCATGATGGGAAATTCAAAGAGTGATTAGATCTAGGCATCTAATGCTCCTGGGAGCACTGCTACCCACAAATCAATAAACCTCTTAGGGCCACTCTCAGATGATAAAGCCAGTGGAAATCCATTTTGGCAAGGGGTCCTCTCAAACACAACATCCCCCTGCTTCACCCAAGCTTGCACCTCCCATTAGATTTCACTGCATTTACTAACAGTGGGGGAGCAGAAGAGAGATCCCTAACTTCTCATCTCAAAATCCTTCATTCAAGGAGTAAGAAAAAGTTCAAATATCTCTTTGCCCATCCCTTCTAATGGCCCAGCAAATCCAGAAATAAAGTAAAATATGTCTTGAATGAAGCTCCACGTCTGCTAATTTCGAGGGGCATCTGTGTTATTTTCTTGGGAGCAATACAGAAATAATTTGCTCTTTTTATCTTTTAGAATGCTTTTTCAACTTGCCCATAGACCGGAGATTTCCTTGTGGTCTTCCATCTGGGTACAATCAGGTCCCACCGTGCTTTAATTTGGGGGGATTTACCAGAGCTAGTTAAGTGCTGCCACCTATTATGAAACATACCCATTGTTTCAATCTCTGTGATAGCTGGAAGTAAGACTAAACATTGTTTTAACCTCACGTTCCCTTGCACTATAGCTCCATTCCATTTTAGAGTCAGAACAAAATGTTGCCATAATTATGAGGCCAGCCTTTCTCAACTTTTAGGCTTCTAGGTGTGTTGGATTGCAACTCCCATCATTCCCAGCTAGCCAGGCTAGCTTCTCAGCTGGCTGGGGAGGATGGCACTTACAAATTCAACACAACTGGAGGGCTGCAAGTGGAGAAAGGTGGTGTTAGATTCTGCAGTCTCTGCTAGCAACAGCTACCTCGCCATTAACTAGGAAAAGGCTTGTTTCTATCCAAGCAATCAGGCAGAATGGGAAAACAGACACACACATACACGCACACCTATCATATATATAAACCACGCAGGTTGATGGCCCCATCAGTTATAAATGTCACCCCCGCCTGGTGTGAAATGTAGGGACCCAGCAGCAAACGTACCTGTGTTTTGTTTGTATGAAAAATAAAATTGATTGCCGACTGGCATATGGTGAAGAGATGTGCATTTTGTTAGTCTTGGCAAATAACTGCAGTTCAGCCCTGCGAGGGGTATGACGAAGCGCCATCACGAAAATTGTACATCTTTGACGGCTAGCATCGGAACCTGTCCTCGTAATGGGGCTCTCCAGTGCAAGGATGATGGGACAAGGCTCTCACCTGCACATTTGATACCTGTGAAGGCAAGCCGTGGGATCTTATCATAATGGGCAGTTCAGCTACTTAGATAGAAAGATGTCTATCAATCTCCCAGGAAAACTTTTGATCTTCCTATCTTTCCTTTTTTCCCCCCTTTAGGAAAACCAAATAAGAAAATTAATTGCAAGGCAATGACATTTTGAAAAACCCTGCCAGCCACTCGGATAAGCTTTGACAGGTGTGGCCCCCAGGGCGCACAGCAATAGGATCTTGCAAAGGTGTGGGTAGAAGACCACGGTTCTTATTTAGAACTAATTCGGATGTTATGCTTTGAAGCACAGGATGCACCTTCTGTGGCTCACAGGAGCTCTGATTCTCCAAGATGCCTTTCCTCTTTCCATGCTAATGTCACAGACTTCCTTGCATTCAGCCCTGTGGAGCAGTGTTTCTCAACCTTTGCCCACCCTGTCATTGAGCCTGCTGTCCATCTCCCTTCACACCCCCCTCCCACCTGCCCGGTCCGGGCGAGAGGGGAAGCGGGAGCATGAT